AAAGTTATCACCTATATGCCCTACACCAACAAATAGCTGTCCTGTTAGCATTTATGTTTCCTTTTAGTATCTTCATAAGTACATATGTGTGTGTACCTTTTACAAAACTGGAATTATGTGCCACATACGATTTTGAACTTCAGTTTTTTGCTTCACAGCATTTTCATCTTCACATGTCTTTGCATATTCTTGGAAAACACCATTTTTTAATGGAGACAACAATTTTTCAGTCATATCAGCCTTAAATCATACCACATAGCTCCATTTTAGACCTGGTTGGTTAAACATGGGTAAGCTACAAACTAAATTTAAAGTATTTTTAAACTGCGAATGTTATACATGTTCATTATAGGAAGTTTGAAAAAATCAAAAAGGTATAAAGAAGATAATCACCTATAATCCCACCACCCAGAGAGACTCCTTTTCACATTTTCCTCTACGTAATAATAGATATTTAAGATAATTGGGGTCATACTGTTTATGTATATTGTTTATATTTCTATATCTTGATGTTTTTCATTCAGTACTTATATCATGAGCTAAATGTTAGTACATTCTGTTGTACTTATTGTCAATAATTATTTTTATGATGAAGAAATTTCTCACAGAGGAAATACTTCAATGAGCATTTTGACAATAAAGACAAAATTGCCCCTATTTTAACAAGTTTTAACATGAAGTTGCTCTACAATAGGAGTTCATAGAACTTCTCAAACCTTCTCCTAATAATCTTATGGCAAGCACAAAATTTCTTTGATGTCTGTTTTACCTAAATATATGGCTTAACAATTACCAAGGAAATACACGTTTATTTTAAAAATAATCAATACCAAAGATTAGAAAGTGAAAATTGAAAGTCTCCCTGCATACCCTGCATTCCCACTCTCTTGTTCAGTTTGTTGTTCATTCTTCTAGACTTTTCTGGCACAAACAGATAGATATAGCATTGCTAATTATGCGAATAACTGATAAAATAGCTATGAAAATTACTTTTTTCATCTAACTTATTCTTTTAATACCTGTAGATCTACCTTTTTTGGTAATAGCTTCAGCATTATTCTATACTATGGAGTGTCATAATTTATTAAACCAGTCTCCTGTGGTTGAATAGATAGGGCATATCCAGTTTTCACTTTTAAAATAATGTTTTATTAACTCAATTAAAAGTGGGTAAAATACCCCTCATACATTTCTGGTGGGAATGTGAAGCGGGGTAGCCATTTTCCACTGGTGCAGCGTGGAAAGCGGCTCAGCAGTTACTCAAAAGTCAAGTATAAAGTTGTTACCACGTGGCCCAGCAATCCTACTTCTAGGTGTATACCCAGGATAATTGAAGATGTATGTTCACATAAAAACTTATATATAAAATGTTTGTAGCAGCATTATTAGCCAAAAAGTGGAAACAACTCAAGCATCCACCAACTGATAAATGGATAAACAAAATGTTGACCATCCGCGCAGTAGACTGCTATTTGGCAATAAAGAAGAATGAAGTTCCGATACATGCTATGACACGGACAAACCTTGGAAACACTATACTATGAAAGAAGCCAGACACAAAAGGCCACATACTGTATGATTCCATTTATGTGAAATGTCCGGGATAGGCAAATCCATAGAGACAGAAAGCAGATTAGTGGTTGCTGAGGAGGGAGGAAGGAGGGAAGGGGGGGAAGGGGGGAGGAGGAGTTGGGAGTGACTGCTTAATGCACATGGGATTTCTTTTTTGGGGCGATGAAAACACTGGAGTTAGATAGTGGTGATGATTGCACATCCTTGTAAATAAACTAAAAACCACTGAAATATACATTTTAAAATGGTGAGTTTTATGTTGTGAGTTTTATATCTCAATAAAAAGTATTTTAAAAATGGGCATAAGACTTGAATAGTCACTTCACAAATGAGGATATTCATATGGTCAATAAAAATATAAAAACGCACTCAACATCATTAGTCATCAGAGAAATACAAATTAAAACCACAACGTGATACCTCTACTTGCCCACCAGAGTACCTCAAATGAAAAAGACTGGCAATACAAAGCGTGGGCAAGGATGTGGAGAACTTGAAATGTCTTTCCCTGCTGATGGGGGTATAAAGTGGCACAACCGCTTTGGAAAACTGGTTGGTAGGACCTACTGAAGCTGAGCATACATATGTCTTCTGTGACCTAGCAATTTTACTCCTGGATATACTTTTATTTCCTCAGGGAAAAAAAGCATGAATGTCATAGCAGCTTTATTCATAATATCCCTAAACTAGAAAAACCCAAATGTTCACCCATTAGACTAGATAAATTGTGATATGTTCATACAATAAAAAGCACAAACTGCTGATACAAAAATGTGGATGTATCTCACAGACTCACTGCAACTATGAAACGTTCAGTGTGCAAAACCTCTTTCTAGTCCATGAGCTGTAGTTTGAGGCTTATATTGTCATATAAAGTATCACCTGGACAAATTTTTAAAACCGATTAAATGATTTTAAAGATGTTTCATCTTTTTCTGATGCCAATATTAATATATTTTAAAAATACCTTTTTATTATTTCAAAATAAATTCATGTGAATTGTAGAAAAATTAGAATATACGGTATATAAAATAAGAATAAAACACCCCTCACGTGTGCTCCCACCGCACAGAGAGACCCCTGTCAACACCTTGGCATGTACACATCCGGACACTTTTCTGAGCATTCCAGAAAGCCAGAGTATTCTAATTAAATGTTAACACGCACATACCTTCCACAGAGTCCGCACTTGGGACAGATGCGCAGAACGCCGAGGAGAAAAGCGAGAAGCTAGGGCTGCAGCATGAAGGTGCGAAAGCACCTTGCACAGCTAATCTCCTTATCTGGCGTCCCAGCTCAGCTTGCTGCCTTCCTCCCTGCTGGGGCACATGCTGCCATGTGCATCACTCACTCACCCCCTGACCCTTCTACCATCCACGCTGCCAGGCCCCCTCCTAACCCCGGTGGAAGCTGACTTTGGTGGGTTGACCACCGTGTCCACGCCCACTTGCTGAGCAGCCCTGACATTCACCTGTGACTGCATGTTAGCAGCATCTCTCCATATTGGCCAGCCTTCCCCGCTTCAGCTCTGCAGACCTGATCAAGACTGTGGGGTGGGCGCCTCCTTCTCCCTGCTTTCCATGTATGCACTCCTTGGCCTCTGTGGGTCTCCTTGTTACCAAACAAGATCTACTTTCCCCATGGTTGACACCCTGCCCCCCACCCTCCAATAACACACACACTCCAATCCCTGTCCCGGCCAAGAGGACTTTGCTCCTTGGGAGCTCTCCCGTCTCACCAGCAGCAGGATGAGGCAGGGCTGGGTGGGATGTGGTGCCCACCTCCGGAGCTCACAGGCCCACAGAGGGGACGGGCGACGTTACTGGCTCAGAGCCCAGGATAAGCGCTGTAAAACAGGTATGAGCCCTGAGTTACGGGAGCCGAAAAGGAAGCAAGATGGCTCCTCCTGGGGTGGGGAGGGTTTAGAAAGGGCACTGAGGCCGCAACCGAGGATCAGAAATGCAGCCAATTCTCTGCCAAGCAGCCCCTCCCTCATTCTGACGCAGTGTGGGAGCCCCCGGAGACAGGACATGTTTACTTCCTGTCTAAGCACTTTCATATACTTTTAATGAGACATTATGCATCTATATAGATTCTAGCATATATCAGTATGACCCTTAAAGAAAGGCATAAAACTTGTGCGCTTAAGAGACATGTAATCTCCTAGCAACGAAAAGAATCTGACTCCATTCATTTGGTAATTTATTTTATTGATTCAAGTATTACAAAGTTCTACTTTTGATTTTTTCATATACAATGTATTGAAATGAGCTAAACTAAATCATTTATAACGTGAAAAGACATTACATACTAGGAGGGTGATGTTGCTTCATAATCACGTGTTATTCCCACTGCTAAGGAACACGCCTGTGTTATGGGGTCACAGCTACTGCCTGTGACTGTCAGAAACAGAAAGGGCAGGTGGGATTCTCGGGGGGCTGCAGAGAAGCCTCGGCTCGGGGTGCTCATCCAGTGACATTTCATGCTCTGAAAGGAAGGAATGAGAAGGTTTGGGGGGGCAAGGAATAGCCAGTTCCCAGAAAACCTGGGAAACATAGATTTCTCCAAAGGAGCAACTGACATAATTCTTCAGTTACTTTTATGAGAAAATTTAAAAATAAATACATTGGAATGCTGATTGGATAGAGAAGATCATTTAGGTTGCCTTTTTAAACTTAGTTTTTTAAAAAGTTTTTGTATAAGAGATATTAAAGGGGAAAAATTATGGCAAGTATGTTGGCAGAGAAAATTTTAAGGAAATGTTCTTTCAGAGGAGAAGGTAAATGGCAAGGCAATTAAACTTTAATGATACATTAGATAGACAGATATATAAAAAATACTTCAAATGATTCATTTCAGATTGAATATTCTCTTAAAAACTAGAGGGCTCTAAAATAAACATTTTTTATGCAGGGGCATTTTCAGTCAAAGGAGTTAATGAACCCCACTCCCGCAGTGGGCAAGGGGCTTTATAGCAGGCCCTGCTGGCCAAATGGGATAATTTCCTGGAAGACTCAGCCCCGGAACCCACTGTGGCTTCATAAATGTACCTGGGCTTCACATGAACCTTGGGGGCCACCGTGTCCCCGTATCTCACTCCCTCCTGGTGGAGCCCTGTCACAAGATAGAATAGAGCACAAGGCACCCACAAGGAAACACAGGACTTCCAGGTATCCCAGTAAAAGCCAGCTGAGACTCCAGAGCGAGACGCGGCCTTTCCAACCGCAGCTGGTGTGTGTGAATTCTTAAGAAATTACAGCAGTGGCTCCGTCACCGTGAACGAGAGATGATGCGGTCCATTTGGGAGAGCTCTATTTTCTTCCTTAAGTTGCAATCCCAGGCATTTCCAGTTCTAATTAATAAAGCACATCCCCCATATCTGGCCCTCACTTAGCTTCTGAGGGGAGAGTACACTGAGTTTTCTCCTGCTATAGTCTATTGAGAAAGCCTAGCTTGAAGCTGCTGGGGAGCTCGATCATTTCCAGGGCATGTGGAGAGGGGGTGAAAGGAAACGTGACTTGAAAGAGATATTTGGTGTCCAGCATCAGCTGCGACGAGTCCTCCCGGCTATTTAGGAGAGCCTGAAATTAGAACGAGAGGAAAAATGAATAAGGAAATCTGCCTTGCTGCCACCTGAAAGTCAAGAGTAAGAGAAACACGACTGCATCTCCAGTGAAGAACTCCTCCCAAAATCACATAGATGGCACTCGCAGGGCCATTGCAAATGGTGAAATGGTCTCTCCAGGGCTTCCAGATCAGCTCTCACGAATACGGACTCTGTTTCACCTCAGAAGTTCATTTCCCGCAGGATGCACTGACCGCAAATCTATCTGTGTTCTATCTATTTTCATGGCATAATTCTAAGCTCAAATAGGAGTAGATCTGAAGTTTTACATTTTCATTGAATCCATCTTTCTTCTTGAGTCAGTGGTTTGTAAACTTTTTGGTCTCAGGACCCCTTTAAACTCCTAAAAATTATTGAGGACCCCAGAGAGCTTTCGTGCATGTGGGTATAACTATTGATAGTCACCAGATTGGTAATTAAAACAATAATTGAAAATATTTAATTCATTAAAATAATAAACACAATACATGTTACACATCATTTTCCAAAACAAGGAAAATTTAGTGAGAAGTGGTACTGTTTTCATATTTTTCATATTTTTGTAAATCCCTTTAATGTCTGACAATATAAGACTTACATATATCTGCTTCTGCATTCAATCTGTTGTGATATGTTATTTTGGTTGAAGTATGTGAATAATACCCTGCCTCACATAGATATGTATTTAGAAAAAGGAAGACTTTCCAGAACCCCTGAAAGGGTCTCGAGGACTCCCAGGGATCCTTGAACCAAACTCTGAGAACTGCTGCCCTAGTTCATCGGGGGAGAAACCTTAGGAATTATATTAAAAATTGCTATATAAAAATGACCATATAAGAAAAACGGTCTCTGTGTTTTCATTCAGCCTCTGCCCACTTGCACAGCACTCAAAGACTAATCACAACAAGCTATGCTGAAGGAACAAGCACGTGAGTCATGGTTTTGGTGTTTTCCTTCCCTTCCCACTAAAACGGATTCTGAAAACTGGGGGAATTTGACAGGCAAGATTCCTGTTGCCTTTGAGCTGGATGCCTTTCATTTGCACATTTGGTAAATGTATTTTAATCCTGGATTTCTACAATGTTAATTAAATATCAATCTCTTATACCATACTTAGGAGTTCAAATTAAAAGGCACATCCTTAAGGATCTCACCTGTACTTTGCGAACAAAGGATGGAGTCACTCTTTTCTCGAAGTCATCTATAGGTGTGTATGAATTAAGGATCTTGATGATCTGCAAACATTACATGACATGGTGTCAGACCATGAAAAAGAATAACTCTGTTCATGAAATAATGGTTCTGGTGGTTTGGAAACCACTGGGAACCACAGGTGGTTCTTTTATCCTGTAATTTGGCTCAGGAACAGGTGTTAACTATTTGCAAGGAGAGAGAAAACAAGGGGAGAAGAGTGCAGAAGGGAGCAAAGACAAATGACAGAATTCGATGACAGTAAGAGGACCTCCCTTCCAGCCTCCCTGCCTCCACTTGTCTACCCCCACACGTGCGCATCCGTGAGTTGAGTGGGCAGGGGATGCGTCATAGATAGACACTTTTATATTTTTAAGACCTAGAGTTAGTGTTTAATAAATACTTATTAGATAAAAGGATGGGCCATGTAAGTATGCTCCCCAGAGAACAGAGTCACCCACAGCTGGCTGGGCCAGGAAAGGCAGTGCCAACCACAGAGATGTGTCAGGGAAGATGCAGAGAGACACTAAGCAAGCCGATCACCTGCACGGCAGACAGTGAGGTGCAGCGTTCATAGATTTCCTTGGCATCGCTGTCTGTGGTCTTCTTGACCTGAAGCAACCAGGCTGCCTGAGAGAGAGGTTCCAAAGTTTCCTTGGCTAAGCTGTTCTGCAAATTCTTATCTTTAAGCCATTCTTCTAAGTAGCTGATGTTGCACCTGGAGTGAAAGCCAGAGGAGCAGAGAAGAAGACAGTTTGGTAGTTTGTCAAAATTAAACACAGAGTTACCACATGACCCAGCAATTCCACTCCTAGGTATATACTCAAGAGAACTGAAAACATGTCCACACAAAATCTGGTATACAAATGCTCACAGCAGTGTTACTCTTTTTTTTTTTTTTTTATTTCAGCATATCATGGGGGTACAGATGTTTAGGTTACGTATGTTGCCCTTGCTCCCCGTCCCCTCCCAAGTCCAAGCTTCAAGCGTGTCCATCCCCTGGATGGTGCGCATTGTACTCTTTGTGTATGTATATGCCCGTCCCATCCCCCCTCCCCCCTGCCTGACATCCAATAAATGTTATTCTTATATGTGCACTTATGTGTTGATCAGTTAATACCAATTTGATGGTGAGTACATGTGGTGCTTGTTTTTCCATTCTCGAACAGAAACTTTTTCAAAAGAAGACAGAATAATGGCCAAAAAACACATGAAAAAATGCTCAACATATCTAATCATCAGGGAAATGCAAATCAAAACCACAATGAGATATCACTTATCTCCAGTGAGACTGGCCTTTATCAAAAAGTCCCAAAACAATAAATGTTGGCATGGATGCGGAGAGATAGGAACACTCATACACTGCTGGTGGGACTGCAAACTAGTGCAACCTCTGTGGAAAGCAATATGGAGATACCTTAAAGAGATACAAGTAGAACTACCATTTGATCCAGCAATCCCATTACTGGGCATCTACCCAAAAGAACAAAAGACACTCTATGAAAAAGACACCTGCACCCGAATGTTTATAGCAGCTCAATTCACAATTGCAAAGATGTGGAAACAACCCAAGTGTCCATCAATACATGAGTGGATTAATAAAATGTGGTATATGTATACCATGGAGTACTATTCAGCATTAAGAAACAATGGTGATATAGCACCTCTTGTATTCTCCTGGATAGAGCTGAACACATTCCACTAAGTGAAGTGTTACTCTTAATAGCCAAAAAGTGAAAACAACCCAAATGCCCATCAACAGCTGAATGGGTAAACAAATTACAGCATATCCATACGATGGGATATTATTCAGCAATAGAAAGGAGTGAGATGCTGGTATCTGCTACATAGATAAAATTCCCAAACATTAAGTAAGTGAAAGCCATCCACAAAAGAGAATATATTCTATGCTTCCATTTGTTTAAAAATGTCCAGAATAGGCCGGGCGCGGTGGTTCACGCCTGTAATCCTAGCTCTTTGGGAGGCCGAGGCGGGCGGATTG